TAAATAAATGAAAAACGAAAGTCCTCTTTTTCTTTTTCTTTCTCTTTGCTTTTGCGCTACGCGTTTCACCGCTGTTGCGGCTCTTCAGGCATAGCAAAGTGTGTTTATTGACTTATTACGTCACAGATCTAATTGTAATTACAATGGTTAGTGTAATTCGAAGCACGCGCGAGCAATTAGCGTAATTTCAAATCATTAAGAACGGGTTTATATTTGAAAATAAAAAATCTTTCTTTGTTCTTTCTCATGACCTCAGTAGGGCCGAGAATCTTGTAAAACGGAAAGATAGTGAACTGAGGGGTCAATCCTGCAGCACATCCATCAATATGTTTGCTGACTCCCAGCATACGTGTGTGCGGGTCTCTAATTTGTTGTTTGTGGACTGTCATTCTATTTCTCAGGACATCACCCATTTCTCCTATATAATTATGTCCACATCCTGCACTTGTTATTACATAAATCAAGTTTGTTGATGTGCAGTTCATCGAATGTTTTATCCGAAATGTTTCATTCGAAGCAAAGAAGGTGAATTCTCTACCCTGTTTTAAATAGAGGCATGTACCGCAACGTTTTGTTCCACAAATTTTAACTTCCGGATCAGCGTCCTTTTGCTTAGAGAAATAGGAGTTTGTTAACATCCGTTTTAGGTTTCTGGGTTGTCGCTAACTGTGAATTACTTAAGTCTTGCTCAGAATGGATTTTAATGAGGAGTTTTCGTTCAACATTGGAAGTGTTTTCCTGACCAGCTCAAATACTTGCGGATTGTTGGGATTGTAAGTTGTTACCAGACAAAGGAGGTTATTTTCGGTACTTTGTTCTCTCACACTTCTTAACTCTTCCGATGTCTGGGTGAGAGCCTTGTTTAAACCGTAATCAATGAACTCAGCTGGATATTGTTTCCTCAGCAGGATTTTTTTGAGATCGTGGAGGCGCCGTTTCCTTCTGTCCTGGTCCTCAATAATCAGTCATGCATATCCTCGAGCCAGGTTGTATTGAATTAACCCGTCGGTTTATAATAAATACCGGTTGTTAGGTGAGTATTGTCTTTTCTTATCATCACATCAAGGAACGGGAGTTCTTTGCAACTAGTTTCAGTAGTAAGTTGAATGCTGTCATCTAGGCTGTGTTAAAAGTTCATGAAGCTCCTTTAATTTTTTTCTCACCGTAAGGCCAGTTTATATAACAGTCATCCAAGAATCTTCTCCAGTTTGTGTAAACATAATGGCTTATTTCTTCTCCCATTTTGTCAGAGACCTGGCTGTATAATTCGTTCTCCAAATACCCGAGAACAAGGGTTGCATAACTGGGAGCCATTTTCGTTCCCATCGCAGTACCTTTCTTTTTATAAACCGACGGATTCATTCCAATACCTCCCATATATATCCAGCCATCCAAGACATGCTAAAAATAACATACCATACAACCTGGCTCGGAGGATATGCATAATTATTGAGGA